CCTGGCCATATTTGACCGGCAAGTCAGGAAACAACAAAAAAAAAAATCAACTTCGAAGAGCGATCCACTCGAAGTTTTGAGGCAAGAGTGAACAAAAATCCCACAATCTAAAATTGACGAGATGATTCTCACGATGCCCCAAAGGATCAACAAACTCCACGAAGTGAAAGGAAGATCTACTAGATATTAATTAAATTATAAATATATCAATTCATGTGAATATGACTGAAAAATTTCATTTTTTTCTGAAAAGGTGGTGTCTATTTACTTGTGACCACGCTGTGTATATGAAAAAACCTATCAACATTCAATTGGAATCACACCCTTCAGCTGCTAGCAGTCTGTAAAATAGCTACCCTTCCAAGTTACTCAGTAACTAACCTAAAGAAAATGACGTTCACTCCCAATCAACAGATCACAACAAAATGTTTCCACAGTTTCACTTTTATTCTTAACACTTTCTCTGTCACATTTATGGATAACTCTCTCAGTGTCAGGTTTATTCTTATAAGAATTTATGAATGAAAGTAAAGAAGAATGTAATAATATGTCAACCACACTATAACTGTTAGGCTAAATAAACAATAAAAAAAAGGATGTTTTTATATATTTCATTACTTATCTAAAACTTGAAACTGGTAAACTTTGGGAAGTTTGAATGGGAATACCCTTTCTGTATGGTAACACAAAATTTATAATTTACATATATTTAATATCACACTTTTCAAGGCTTAAACAAAGGTTATATAGTGAATCCTATATATTATAAATGCAGTGCTGTAGAGAAGGGTACACATACCTATGGTAGTAGAAAATCAGCCACAAAATGAATGTTATCCTTTTAAAGTTCAACTGTTGTATTTTCTTTAAATCAATTTCAAGTCTAGGCAAAGTATTGAAAGCTTTGATCACTCATGGATTGCATGAAAGAGGAAAACTAGATTTATGAAATCTAATGCATCTGTGACACAAACTGAGAAAACATATATAAACCAAGATAAATAAGCACAATTGCTACAATAGACTCTTAAAATATTTCACACATTACAAAACACAATCTCTACAGGTCATCACATAGATGGGAATTACCTTTCATGACTATTAGTATACCAGACTGAAAAACCAACAGCCTTTACCATATGAACCTACCAGCCAAAACTCAAGAGATGTAAACAAATAAATTGAATACTTTTATTACATTAACATTTTCAACAACTCATTCCTACATTCATTACACATCCAACTAATCCTGAGACAGCAGTCTGCACTCACAACAATGCTTTCTCTATTGTGTCCATCTAAGGTTAACTACATTGAGTTAATGCTTGGCAGACTGAGGCACTGTACTTAACAAACTACAATATATTCCCTCCCAATTTTTACACTGTTATGTGCATTTTTAGTAATTTTGACTCACCTACAGCAAAGATATCTACCATATCAAGATTCAACAATCTGTCTGGTGAAAAATGCAAATTTTTAGCTGGTATTTTTCTTTTTTGCCAAACTTTATTGATACAGCATTCATAAAGTATCCAATTTCAGGTCATGAGAATCACAAAGCATTTCTTAAACAAAGTATCTATTTTTGGCTTTCTATTAAACTTTTATTATGTGAAATATTAGATCATTGAACAATTTTATTATTCAAAGAATTTATTCATTATAATGACCAAAAATGTAAACTAAGCTATTAATGCTGACAAGCAACTACTAAAAATGTGTTTCAAATGTCATGGTATACTACTACATAAATTATTATACTAAAAACCAAACTGCACTCTTTAACTTATCATTGAATTTAGCTTAGTTACTAGAAAAGTCCATTTTTCTGAGAATTAGGTATACAAACATATAAAAAGCCAAATTTAGCGGGAAATGGATATTGTAAACTGTAAAGAGTTAGGTAACATTTTTGTCATAGTTTAGAAAATTACATAAAGTTGGAGAACAAGCTTCCAACAAGATATTTTCAATTGTTGATGTATCTATGTTGCTGTTTAACATCTGGTCAAGAGTAACAACATCCAGAGGTTTTATATACACTATAAGGCTAGTGTTTACTTGCGTATAATATTTTCACTAGTTTGGACTCTTGTTTGTTTGTTTTTAATTATGCACAAAGCTACACAAGGGCTATCTGTGCTCTGCCCACCACGGGTATTGAAACCAGGTTTCTAGCATTGTAAGTTCGCAGACATATCGCTGTGCCACTGGGGGGCTTTTGGACTCTTAGTAATAATAAAATTTTGGGGGATAAATTCATAAATCAAACATCATTCAACTTAAGTACTTCTGGTAAGGTTGTAGTGATTGTTACAATAATTTAAGTTTTAAAAACTGTACTTCAGTAGAATTATATTTCTTCAAGTACAGTGGAAGACTGAAGTTGATAACAGCTTTTCTCATTTCAGACTTCTACACAAATGTTATAATAGTGTATTGTTTGTGTAAGCACCATATTCGTGGTACTATACATTTCACAAATATTTGAACTATCTAGTTTTTACCGCCAACTCTTTTACCAACAAATAGTGGGATTGGCCATCACATTATAAAACCCCCATGGCTGAAAGGGCAAGCATGTTTAGTGGGATGGAGATACGAATCCACGACCCTCAGATTGCAAGTCGAGTGCCCTAACCACCTGGCCATGCCAGGCCAATAACAAGGCATTACAAGTGTTTTCTTCCAGTAATGCCACTCATGTTTAGTGTAACTTTTCTTAATTAGTACTCAGAACAAAGCACTGTGAGTGCTTTCTTCCATTATTGTACCACATGTTTAGTGCACCATTACTCTATTAGCATTCAGAACAAGGCACTGCGAGTGCTTTCTTCCATTATTGTCCCTCATGTTTAGTGCAACATTACTCTATTAGCATCCAGAACAAGGAAATGTGTTCTCTTCCAGTAATGCTAGTCATGTTTAATGAAACATTTCTTTGTTTAGTAGCCACAGTGAGTGTTTTTCTCCAGTAAAGAAACTTATATTTGGTGTAACATTCATCTATGAATATTTCTTCCAGTAGTGCCACATGTTTACTGAATTAGTACCTAAAAAACGGCACAGTATTTTCTTCTAAGAACGTCACTCATGTTTAGTGTAATGTTACTGTACTAGTAAACAGAACAAGGTAGAACATACACCCATCTTTTGTGAACCTTTCTCAATAAACACCCAGAAAAAGGCACTGTGATTGCTGTTTTCCAGTATAGTCACTTATGTTTAATGCAATATTTCTCTATTGGCACACAGAACAAGTCATTGTGAGCATTGTTTTTTAATAATGTTAATATTTCTCTATTAGCATCCCGAACAATGTACTGAGTGCTTTCTTCCATAATGCCACTCGTGTTTAGTGTAAGGTTTCTCTATCATCACCCAGAACTAGGTACTGCAAGTGCTTTTTTCCAAAAATGAAACTCATGTTTAGTGTAACGTTTGTATATTATCACCCAAATCAATGCATTCTGGCTGTTTCTCCTAGTAATGTCACTTATGCTTAGTGTAAGGTTTCTGTATTAGCACCTAGAGTAAGGAACTGCAAGTGCTTTCTTCCAATAATGTTATTTATATGTTGTGCAATATTGCTCTTATTAGTACCTAGAGTAAGGTACTGTAAGTTCTTTCCTTAAGTAATGTTTATTGTAACTTTTGTCTATTAGTACCCAGAAAAAGGCACTGTGTTTTCTTCCAGTAATGGCACTCATGCTTAGTTAATGTTTTTCTACGAGTACCTGGAACGAGATATTGTGACTGCTTCTTTCAAATAATATCACTCATGTTTAGTGTAATGTTTCTATATGAACAACCAGGAAATGGAACTACGAGTGCTTTCTTCCAGTAATGACACTCATATTTAGTGTAACATTTGTTTATTATTATTATTATCCAAAACAAAGAACTCAGAGAGCTTTCATTCGGTAATGTCACTCATGTTTTATGTAATGTTTCTCTATTAGTATCTAAAGCAAGGCAGTATTAGTACTTTCTTCCAGTAATACTACTCACTTTTAGTGTAACATTTCTCTATAAGCACCCAGGAAAAGCAACTGTGAGTGCGTTGATGCAGTAATGACAATTTAAGTTTCAATAATAAATCAAGATTTTGTAAATAAGATAGTTTATTTAGGCTCATATATTATTGTAACTACCAAGCAAAGAGAGGGACATATAATCACTAATTTATTCATCACTGCTGGAGAATAGTATTACTATAAATATGATTTAACATTAAAATTACAAATGAAAATGTTAACAACAAAAACATCATAAAGATCATATATTTTCATACACAGACATTACTAGTACAAGTATGTGTATCTGTATCATACAAATTAGCATACAGAAAAATCATACTGAAAAAAAGAATAATTTGAAAACAAGTCAAGAAACACCTGAGGAATTTGTTATATAAATCTTGAATACACTATACACTTCTTAGCAGCTGCAGTCAGCAGAGGTTCTCTTGTTAAAACTTCTGTACCAGGAAGAGTTGTAATTGTCACTATCTGACCTATTTCTCCATCTTGGGTTAGGGCTACTCCCACGTGGGTAAGATCTGAAACAGTTAGGTTCTACTTAATACTAAATTTACTAATGAAATACAGCATCCCTGAACACTCTTTAAAATTTATACCTCTGTAATACCTTAAAGAAGACATTTTGACAAGTGATATAAAATTATGTTCAAACAACAATTTGTTGTGTGCTTGCGTTATTCTTTATATTAACAGAACAGAATTTTATATTGTAACAGTCGAACGGGAGGAAGTTGGAACTTTCACACCAGATCAATACTCTGATTCTTAAAACTGGAGTTCTCAGGTTAAGGTCTTGATGAAGCATGACTCAACAGTTTTGGTATTTGTACATGTCCTTCATGAACTTTATTGTTTTTACAAGGTTTCTTGGCAGTAGTTCTAGAACATTTTTGATTCCTTCCAACAAAGAATTATTCACAAGAGTGGTCCCATCAATGCTCAATAAATGAATGACCTATTTATATTATTGTCTCTTTTACCTATGCACCAAACAATGAATGTTGTCACTCTGCATGAAGTACCTGCAATTATGTTATGCATCATGTGTATAAAACCCTTAAAACAGAACCATGACCCTCATTGGTACAACATTTGTTATAGGATAACAGCACCAGGGGCTGCAACACTCAAATACAACATAGCAAGAACAATGAGTGTTTAATAATAAACAGAAAGAATTTATTGAAGTTCTTTCTTTTTTACTTTACTGCTGCAATTACTCAACAAGCAAGTCAACTTTCACCAACTTAAATAATGTATTTCTCCTGTTGAATTAGTACATGTAAAAAGTTACCCTGCCCTTATTCATCCACTACTCAAATATGTGAGCAGATGAGTGGAATTTTTGAGACCTAGATGAAAGAACAAGTTCGATCTGCTACAACTTAAGCTTAATATTACATAATATAATTGTTTGTAAGAGAAACTGGAGTCATTTTTCAAAGTAAAACATGGTTCAACTTCTAACAATTACTATGTAGCCAAATTATGATTTGTAACAAAGTTTTAAAACTTGAAAAAAAAACTTATGATAAAAAAGTAGTTGAAAATATTTTAAGATCTTTAACTCATTTACCATGAAATGTAAAGGTTTCATTTCCTGAGTCTTCCAAGAAAACATTTTCTGTGTGATCATCAGTACCATTCTTCTCTTCATTGCTATTTGGAGAGGAATTTTCTTCATCAACATGATGACGCTTTCTGTGGACATTTCGACTACCACTCTGAGAGAAAGTTTTACCACAGGTATCACATGAAAAAGGCTTCTTTCCTGCATTATAACCCAGAAAACATGATAATGTTTTGTATTTTTTTTTACACTTATAACACTGGAAGTCTACTTCATATTTTGATTTTTACTTAATAATCCTATGTTAATTCATGTTCTGTTTGTGATTTTGTTTGTCCACAAACTCCTGTTCTAGTTTTGACAGGCAGATTTGAAGTGGACAGGGGAGGTGTCTTTATCTATAATCTCCCTACCAAGGGCAGCTAGAATGCACCCAGAAAGTCACTTAGGCATGATGGGGGGGTCTTGGTAGAAGAAAGTTTTAGGGTTATTGATTTTTTTCGTTCCTGCCCCCTCCCACTGGGATTCTATGTTTGAAAGTGTTCATACTTCTACTCACAAGTTAGTGGGACCAAACATAATACATGTGCTCTGATACCACAGGCTGGTGTCCTAAAATAACTTGTTTTTGGGTGTCAACCCCCTTGGTGTAGCTATAAAAGTAACTGGGGATAAGAGAGACACTTGGTTGGTACATTGGAGTATCTGCGATTCTTGAGGGAGCCTTTAATCTCTGCAGTAATAAAAT